AAAATTTCTGTACATATACATTAACATCTTATTGTAAGCATTTCACTCTCTACACAGAATTTTTTGAGACAGAATCTCATGTAGTCCTAGATGGCCTGGAACTAGCTACATGGATCAGGCTGGCCTCAAACTTGTGGTAAACCTCCTAGGGCCTCCACCTCCCAAGTGTTAGGATTATGGGTGCACCCTCTCCTAAGTAAAATTTTAAAGCATTTTCTGGATGAGTATCTACAGTTAATTGCTACAGAATAAAGAGCAAACACTACAGTGGCCTGAGCCCCTGTTGCATTTGACCTACTGGTTCCCAGTCTATACAATGGACTCTCACAAGAGTGAAAGAGGTTCATCTAAACAAAATTTTTTTGGATCTAAAATGATATAGATGTTAAGACAAAACGCTGCTGATTAAGTTTAGGTGTACCCTGCTTTGAGGTATTAACCTTTAAAGTAAGGGCACATTACAACCAGTGAAATTCAGTCTGTAAACAAATTGTCTACTGGAAATAAGGGGTATCATGATTCTCAAAAGGAGTCAGCCTTGCTGCTACCAGTATGCTAGCAGTGCCTGCTAGGAGATCACAATACGAATGCTAGAAAGCAGCTGAATTCAAAGCGATGGTGCAGAAAAGACCAAAACAGAAAAGAAGAGTCAGTACATACCAGTGCACACTTGGGGGGGGGGGGCGTGGAGGCATTGCACGCAGTGGAGGCTTGGGGGTGTGGTCAGTGCACACCAGCATAGACTCAGGGGTGGAGGAAGAGTCAGTGCATACCAATGTGGACTTGGCGGGGAGCATAAAGGAGGCAATTAGAGAACTCTTTTTTCTGACTCCAGTGTCTGCATGTAACTGTGAAAATGAGTTGGGTGGGATAATGATACCTCCATAGTGTGAGGCTCTCATTTAATTCTGACTCTCTCAGGACACTGGTGTTACTACACCCCCTCAACAGATCAGGAAACTCAAGCTCAGAAAAAGGGAAGATTTGCCCAAAGGGACAGGAAGTAGGAGCGCCACTCAGTCCTTCCAACTTTGAGCCCTGCTGCCATATGGAAATGCAGAGCTAGGCTTTCACTGACTTTCTAGATTCTCCTTTCCTGAAGTGAACTGGTTTCTGAGGAAGCACTGAAAACCTCACCTTGTCTTTTCCTCCAGAGACACAAAGGTCAGAATTCAGAGTAGCAACCACTGAGACAGGATCCAGGTGGGCCAGGCTATACTCCTGAGAGGCTTTAGTTGAGGTTCTCTCTTCTATAATCCCATCAGGCCTGCTACAGAGAGGATGGAAAATGAGGCAAGTGCCCGGGAGCAGGCAGGGGAGCAAGGAGGCACAAGAGTGTGGTCTCTGGCAGCAGTGCAGGCCAGGCTGACAGGAAAGAGGAAAAGGGGCAGAGAAAGAAGAGCTGCTGACAATGCCAGAAATAGTACTGTTTATTCAGAAAATGCCCAGAATGGCTGAGTTACTGAAATCTGATGAAGGGGAATCCCAAAGCCAGGAGACTTTGCTCTCACTACAGACTGCACCCAAAGACACAGGGCCCCTCTGTATGCAGGTGTATGTACTATCTCATGAGGTGATCACTTCTTATCTAAAAGAAAACACATCAAGTATGTGGGACGATCACCAACCCACACTCCAGGCTTTGCTTTCTTTAGTAGAGAATTTTAATGATGCATGATAAAATTGGGGACCCCTGGGCAGGATCACTGCACCTGTACTTGTAAGTGCTGTGTCTGAGTTTGCTCTGCAGTTTCCCCATCACAGCCCAGAGCCTACAGGGAACCTTCTGAGGAGGAGCTGGTTTCAGCTGACATCTGAGTAACAGCATCCCTTGCAGTTGCTGAGAGTTGTGTTCCCTGTGTAGGAAAGAAAACATATGGTGAATTTCATTAAGTCCAAAATAGTAGTAGGGTTAGGCTACATTATTAACCTATCGGTATGTAGGGTGCCTGTCCTCTATAAAAAGAGAGTGGCTGCATGTATTTGCTTTTCTTCCTTTCCTTGCTTCATTCTTTTGGCCCTCGCTGCAGCTGTCAATACAGCGTTAGCAGATAAATACAGAACGAATGTTCAAAAGTACTAAAAATTGGTGTGCGCGTGTGTGTGCGTGTATGCGTGTGTGTGTCCGTGTGCGTGTGTGTGTGTAGAGGCCAGAGTGTGACACCCCAACCTTGGTGTCACTACTCCAAAGCCATTCACTTTGTTTTTTGAGACAGGGTCTCTCACTGAGGAGACTTAGGGCTCACCAGTTAGGTCAGGCTGGCAGGGCAGTGAGCCCCAGAGATCTACCTGTCTCTGCCTCCTTGGTGCTAGAATTACAAGTGAGCACCGCCCTGCCCAGCTTTCTACCTGGTACTAGAGATCAAACTCAGGTCTTCATGTTTGTTCAGTAAACTCTTACCAACTGAAGCTATTTCCCCAGCCCAGCAATTATTTTTAAACTGATTTAAACATTACACGATGTGAATATGTATTGGATGATAGATGGATGGTGTCCTATTAAATGTATAGTTTTGTTCGTATGTATTAGTTGAAAACTAATTTTAAAAATGTTTTTCAGGGGCTGGAGAGATAGCTCAGTGGTTAAGAGCACTGGCTGCTCTTGCAGAGGACCTGGGTTCGATTCCCAGCACCCACATGGCGGCTAACAACCATTCATAATTTCAGTTCCAGGGGATCTGACACCCTCTTCTGACCTCCACAGGCACTGTACGACATGGATGCATTTACATACATGCAGACAATACACTCATACACATAAAACATATATTTTTAAATGTTTATTATTTTTATTTTATGTGTATGAGTGTATTGCCTGCACGTATACAAATGCAATGCTGTGAGTTCAGAAGAGGGCATCGGATCCCCTGGAACTGTAGTTACAGACAGTTGGGTGCTGGGAATTGAACTCGGGTCCTCTGCAAGAGCAGTCAGTGCTCTTAACCACTGAGCCATCTCTCCAGTCCCCACACAAAATATATTTTTAAAAACTGTTTTTGGCTGGGCATGGTGGCGCACGCCTTTAATCCCAGCACTTGGGAGGTGGAGGCAGAGGCAGGCGGATCTCTGTGAGTTCAAGGCCAGCCTGATCTACACAGTGAGTTCCAGGACAGCTGGGGCTACAGGGAGACCCTGTCTCAAAAAGACTTAAAAAAAAAAAAAAAAAAACCAAAACTGTTTTTGAGCCAGGGATTGTGGTGCATGGCTTTAATTCCAGCATTTGGAAGGCAGAGGCTAGTGGATCTCTGTGAGTTGGAGGCCAGCCTGGTCTACACAGCAAGTTCCAGACCACCTAGGGCTACATAGTGAAACCCTGTCTCAAAAAAACAAAAATAGGGGGCTGGAGAGATGGCTCAGTGGTTAAAAGCACTGATTGCTCTTGCAGAGGACCCAGGTTCAATTCCTAGCACTCACATGGGAGCTAACAACCATTCATAACTCCAGGTCCAGGGGATCCGGCACCCTCCTTTGATCTCCACAGCATCGCATGACATGAGTGCATCTACCTATATGCAAGCAATACACTCATATACATAAAATAAAAATAATAAAAAATAAGCCAGGCGTGGTGGCGCACGCCTTTAATCCCAGCACCTGGAAGGCAGAGGCAGGCAGATCTCTGTGAGTACAAGGCCAGCCTGGTCCACATAGTTCCAGAACAGCTGAGGCTACAGGGAGACCCTGTCTCAAAAAGACCAAATAATAAAAAAAAAAAAAAGTAAAAATAAATGCTGCACTCAGGCCTTGGTACATGTTTCACTGATAGAACAGTTGCCTAGCACACACATTGCCTGAGATTGACCCCTAGTAACACACATACACACACACACACAGAGAGAGAGAGAGAGAGAGAGAGAGAGAGAGAGAGAGAGAGAGAGAAACATTTTAAAAACCTACATTCAGGAGGCTGAAGCAGAAGGATCTCTACTGTGAGTATGAGGCCAGCCTGGGTTACATAGGCTCTGTCTCAAAGAAATCTCAGAAATGAAAAAATAAATATTTTTAAAACACTAAGCTCACTGGGCGTGGTGGCACACGCCTTTAATCCTAGCACTTGGGAGGCAGAGGCAGGTAGATTGCTACAAGTTTGAGGCCAGCCTGGTCTACATAGTGAGTTCCAGGCCAGCTGGGGCTAACAGAGAGACCCTGTTTCAAAAAAAAAACAAAACAAAATAAATAAATAAAACACTAAGTTGTTCCTCAGTAAGTTGAAGACAAACCTGTCCTATGCTCCAGAAATTCCACTCTTGGACATACAAGTATTGAATCAAAAGTTGGCACACACATGCTCATATAGCAACTGCTTACTGCAGCCTGTAGATGAAAAAAATTTAGCAGATGGACGCATAAACAAAGCGTGGTCCACCCATACAATGAACGATTATTCAGTCATAAAAAGGACAGATACATGCCAGTTTGGCTGAACCCTGAAAGCACCGTGCTAAGTCCTCCAGACACAGAGGACTGAATAATACATGATCCTGCTTACCTGAAATATCCACAGCTGGCAAATCTATAGTGACAGTAAGCAGATTAGTGCTGCTAAGAGCCAAGCTAAGGTGGAGAATGGGGGGTGGGGGTGTGACTGCTTACTAAGTACAGTTTCTTTTGAGGGTGATAAAAATGTCATGAAACTAGATAGTAGTAAGAGATGGTTGCACAACACTGTCTGTGCACAAAAATGTCATTAAAGGTAAAATTATAAGATTTATGTTTCGGGGCTGGAGTGATGGCTCAGCAGTTAAGAGTACTGACTGCTCCTGCAGAGGACCCTGGTTCAATTCCCAGTACCCCCATGGCGGCTAAGAATCGTCCTTAACTCCAGCTCCAGGGGAATCTGACACCCTTTTCTGACCTCTTCAGCCACAACACAGGTACACTCATACATTCAGGCAATATACTTGTACACATAAAATAAAAATAATAAATAGGGGGCTGGAGAGATGGCTCAGTGGTTAAGAACACTGGTTCCTCATGCAGAAGACTGAGGTTTGACTCCCAGCAGCCACATGGCAGCTAACAACTGTCCATAACTCCAGTCCCGGGCACCGACAGCCTCTTCTGACTTCCACGGGAATTGCACAACACGGGTACACTTATCTACATGCAGGCAATACACACGTATACATAAAATAAAAATAATAAATAAAATTTAAGAAAAGAATAATAAAATATTTTTTAAAATTTATGTTTTGGGCTGGAGAGATGGCTCAGCAGTTAAGAACACTGACTGTTCTTGCAGAAGACCTGGGTTCGATTCCCAGCATTTACGTGGCAGCTAACAACTGTCTGTAACTCTAGTTCCAGGGGATCTGACAGCCTCTTCTGTCCTCTGCAGGCATTGGATGACATGGGCGCACTTACCTACATGCAGGCACTACACTCATACACATAAAATAATAAATGAGGGGCTGGAGAGATGACTTAGTGGTTAAGAGCACTGACTGCTCTTGCAGAGGACCTGGATTCAATTCCCAGCACCCACATGGTGGCTATGAACCATCCTTAACTCCAGTTCCAGGGGAATCCGAAGCTCTCTTCTGGCCTCCCTGGCACTGCATGACACGGGTGCACTCACATACATGCAGGCAATACACTCATACAGATAAAATAAAAATAATAAATAAAATATTTTTTAAAAAATAATATTTTTCTTAAAAAAATTATGTATGGCGCACGCCTTTAATCC